CAAGGAGTATCAGATAGTGAAACAGCAGGAAGGTATTTAAGAAAGCCAAACTCAAAGAGTTCCTCCTAACACAAACATTCAGGTCTTGAGCAGTCCAGGCAAACAATGCACATTACAACAAAGCTTAAACTTGTTCATAATAATTTAAAAAACCACACTAATTGCCTATTTCATTTTAAAAACAGCAAAAAATATCCACCTCCCTCTCCATTTCTTATAAGGAGTCTTGAAGTTTAAATCTCCTCTGTGTGATAGATAGGCTTGCTTTGATCTGCTTAGCTCTTGGAAGGCCATGGGCTCCGGGCTGCTGGCCCCGTGCTGCCCGGGGTCCCTAGGGACAGCCCTGTCCGCCATTAGGGATTTTCCCCCCCCACCCCCCGAGAACCCCCTGGAACATTTCACAAACCCCAGTTTGGGAACCACTGCCGTAAGCCAATGGGGAGCCATTTGGGGCCAAGGGGAACGTGCTGTAGGCAGCAGCCTTCTGCATAAACTGGAAGAAAGGGGCTGCAGGAATCAGGATGAGGGGGCGGCAGAGCGCACTGACCGCTGATCTTGTTGCCCCAATACCCCTGCCTCCGTATCACCAGGGACCAATGTAGCAATTTTTGCAGATGTTCCAAGGTCACTCCTGAATCTTATACCTGCCCATCTAGCAGCCCAGCCAACCTGGCCTCTAGACTAGAGCGATCTGCTCATTCACCTGTCTCAGGCCTTTCTGCCTAGCCATGCCCTGGCCCTGCCACTCTGCAGTCTCACACACTCACTGCCAGCTAACAGAAAGACATCCTCCTCTCCTCCACACTCCCCTGAAGCCCCCCAAGAGATATTAACTACATGAAGTTACATGGAAGGAGAGGGGGGAGGGCAGGGAGCACCACTGGGGAACTTGAAGTAACTACCAGATGTAATGCACTTGATCCCATAAGCATGGGGCAGGGAGCTGCCAGTCCTTCCCCTAGCCCCAGTCCCCATGCATAATGAGCCTGCAGCCTGCTCCCAATATCTCCATTGTGGGAACTCCATCCCCACAGAGCACAGCCCCCCTGCAGGATGGTGCCAGTCCTTCTGCTACCTCCAATCTGCCACCCCCTAAACAAGCTGCTGTAAGACTCGGACAGCTCCAAACTCTCAGACTAACCCCATGCAGCACAGACACTCAACAGAGCACACTGCAAATCCCTCCCGTATCCCCACCCTCAGCAAACCCACCACCTCTCAGTATAAAAATCACTGCTCCAGGCTCCTCCAACACCTCCACTCGCTGTCTGGAGCTCTGCTTCCCACCCTCTTAGAGCCTCACCCTTGTGCGCTGGAGAATTACAAAGCACCCACTTGAGTTTCCTTAGCAGAGGTTCAGTTTAGACTGAACACCAAAAGCAATTGCCAAGGTACTAGACATTGCTGCAGAGGCCTGACCAGCATCAAAGCCAGCTACTGCTCTGGCAGCCCTGGGGCCACACCCAGAGATCAGTTACCTAGCAGGTGCTCAGCACCACAGATTGCATCACCCTTGATTGGTCTCAGGCCGGACACCTTGGGGTCCTGATTAACTGATGTTTCATACCCTGGAGTTAATTTTAACCCTTTGGTTGCCACATGCCTCTCATGCAGTGGGCTCTCAGCCGCTCTGACATCCCCTCCCTCTGAACTCCATCCCTTCTCAGCATACCCCCAAGTCAACCAGAATTCAAAGGGGGAGATTTTGCAAAACACCCCAAACTCTGCCTCTCTTCTCAATGGCGCCATTAAACCTATAGTATAAAGGGCCATTTTTAAGAACCCGATACCTAGCTTGACAAAACACAAGGGGTTCGTTTAAAACAATCCTTGGTCCTCTTCAAGCTTTGGGAGAAGGCGCGGCAAATTCCGAGGAAGCATGTTCAGCTTAAGCAAGCTGTTGTGTAAACTGGCCATTCTTTCTGCTAAAACGGTTTGAAGTAGCTCAGGCCTCCTGCATGGAGTTAGAGGTCTCCCTGTTTCAATTAACACGTCTGTATCATGCAGGGGTTCTCAAACTCCATTGTACCGCGACCCCCTTCTGACAACAACAGTTACTACATGACCCCAGGAAGGGGGACTGAAGCCTGAACCCCGCTGCCTGGACAGGGGGAGAAGCTGAGACTTGAGGGCTTCTCCCCTGCGTGGTGGGGCTCAGACTTTGGCTTCAGCCCCGGGCCCCAGGAAGTCTAACACCAGCCCTGGCGACTCCATTAAAATGGGGTCGTGACCCATTTTGGGGTCCCAACCCATAGTTTGAGAACCACTCAGCTACAGCATTTCTAGGGAAATCTGGGTAGTGCCAGTGTACAGGTGCAAAACTCCTCCTCCCTTTGTGGTACAAGTTCCAGAGACCTTGATGCCTTTGTTCACATCTCTTTGAATTTACTAAGGCAGAGACTAGTAGCAAATTGAGAAAATAGTTCAGACAGAGGTTTGTATTCTTCTGGTCTTGGCTTCCTCCTGGGCTTGCTTCACTTCCTTGGAGAGGGATGAAAAGATCCCTGTAGCTTTACCTGTCTTCCTGGCACCCACTGACCCACTGAGGGAGGACACAGATCTCTTTAAGCCTTTGATCACTCCAAGGAACCTGCTGGTGGGACTCAAGATGGCAGTTTCCACATTTGTCATCTTAGACCGGCTGGCTGCAGCAGCGATGGAACTATCTGGTTTGCTCAGGAGCTGCTGGAGGGTGTCAGGCGACTCATTGTTTAAGTACTGTAGGGGCTTTCTCCCACTGCACTCCCAGAGATCCACCTTGACCTGGTAATTCCTGACCAGCATGGCGGCAGCATCTTCACGCCCGTGCATGGCGGTGATATGGAGCGGGGTGTAACCTCCGTAGCACTTTGCGTTCGCGTCGAGGCAGCTGCCAGCTTTCTTGGACATTTCCATTAGCTGGCGTGCCATCTCGCAGTCCCCGCTCCTGGCTGCCCAGTGCAGAGCAGTGAACCCAGGCAAGGAGTCCCTTTTCCCAGCGAGGTTCTTACCTTTGAGCAGAAGCCCATGAAGTAGGCAGGTCCAGTGGCCAGTGATGACTTTCACCACCCAGTCATGCTCACCAGCTTCCAGGGGGATCTCAGCAGAGCACTTGGTTTCTTTGTCCTCCTTCAAAAGGTTTGATCCCCTTTTCAGGCTGCAGTGCTCAGTGCAAGCCTCATGAAACTGCCTTCTCTCCATAGAAAGGAATTTAGGGCACATGACTGCAGAAGGACAAGACTCCCTACTTTGCTAATGGGTCTCCAGCCACCTTGTCTCCACTTCCAGGCTATGGTTCTGAGGGTGCCAATATAAGTCACAATCCACCAGTCTGAGGTCAGGAGGAGCTAAACAACAAGCCAGCATGCAACAGGCAGTTTAAAGGTATAACCACTGAGTGTTTGGGGAGGCTTACATTGTATGTAGTAAAGCCTGTGCGTTATTACCCAAAGGGCTAACAGTCTTAGGTACACAAGACAGACAAAGGAAGGGGTATTTTTGTACAGAACTGAGATGCAGACAGATAAAGTAACTTGACTGAGGTCACACAGGCAGTCTGTGGCAGAGCCGAGTCTTGAACCCAGGTCCAGAGCTAGTCGGGAACTTTTGGATGAAATTTCCTCCCTACTCTGGTTAGGAAAATGCCGATTCGTCGAAACTGAAACTTTTTTCTGGAAAGGGTCTGATTTGAAATGATCAAAACAAAACGTTTTGATCAGCTCAAACCAACATATATATATTTTTTTATTTTAGTTGTCGGTTCACTCAAATTTTTGCAATTTTGACTTTTCATCCTGATTTGGGACAGGACATTTTTCTTAAATCTCAAAAATTTCCCCATGGGAAACCCCATGTCCTACGCAGCTCTCTTGAGTCCCAGAATACCTTTCCTCCCCAGTAGCCACTGGCATCAGCAGCTGCTGAGTGTCCCTGCAGCTGGCAAATGAGCCGGGCTGTAGCTTCTGCCTCTGCCAATATTTTCTCCTCCACGAGCCCCGATATTTAATAACAAATATCTATTACACGGCTGGAGAATAAACGTCTCTCTGTGCTTGGGGTTTTGCTGCTTTGATTTTGCTCGTTTATTTTGATTTAAACAGAAAGGGACGGAAGGGGGAGATTAGCTGCCAAGGCTGTAAAACTGACTGTCAAGAATAGTCTCAGAACACAGGCCAGGAGCTCCTATCCCCGCTGGCTGGTTCCACCACTGTGTTTGTTGCGGCGTGCTTTACTGAGGGACTGGGCATCAGCCAACAGCTCAGTGCAAAGAGCAGGCAGCTCTGGAGGGCAAGGTTGATACTAGCTGATCTAGGGCAGTGAATCTAGAGAGAACCTTAAGATCAAATCTCCTTCCACTGCAGTAACAGCTTCCTCAGGGACCACCCTCTCCTAGGAAGAAAAGACAGTTCACCCCACTGCGGTCCTATAATGATTAAAAGCAGCGTGCCTTTTCCCCGGGGGATGTAGCTGCTTCCTCTTGCTAGGGAGAGATATCCAGGGCCAGGATGGTTTCTATAGGTCCTACACTTTGCCAGGAGCCTGCAGGGCTAAGAGGAGGCTCTCCTGCAGGTGTCATTATCAACCACTCTTTCAGAGCTGTCCAGTGGCGCTTGGGAGTCGAGATCCCACCAGCTCATTCCACTTGTCGGGCTGGTCAAATTCAAAGCTGAGCCTTGACAGCTCAGATGTTGATGTGGGCGGCCAGTGTGTTGCAGGCAACACGCACAAGTGCACTACGAGGGGGAAGAGCTTCCAAAAGCCAACTCCGCTGGCTGGGATAAACACAACACTCCAGTTCTCTTGGCAACGGCCATTGGGATTTGCTGGAGCAAACTGCCTGCTTCTTGCAATCATGTCATGTAGTTATTCATTATTATTATTGTTTTTGTTTTTATGGCTGAGGTTAATATGAACATGAAGGTCCTGGTGACGCTGCCTTCCCTCCCCACTGAGTCAAAGCTCAGCTTTCTAAAACACTGCATGCAGGAGGATCATGGGGTGGAAGCACCGTCACCATGAAAATACCTATGCCATGGTTTCAGGAAGGGGGTTACATGCAGCAGGCAGACACTTTGGAGGCTTCTCCAAGTAATGACAGGCAGTGGGTTCCCAGAGTCTTTGGTATGGTCTAGAATCAAAGGGTTCCAGACTCTTCCAGAGCCATTGGCTTGCCTAGAACCAATGGGCTCCAGGGCCTTTGTCAGGGTCCTGAATTGTGCTCAGCATCTTTGTCATCTTCTAGAACCAATGGGTTCCAGTACATTTCACGTGTTCTAGAACCAGTGGGTTCCAGCACCTTTGTAATGTTCTAGGAGCAGTGGGTTTCAGAGCCTTTATCATGTTCTAGAAACAACGGGTTTCAGAGCCTTTGTTGGGGTCCAGAACCAAACTGGAACCAAACTATTTGTTTCTCAGTTGCTTGTCTGATTTTTTTGTTTAACCTCTTTTTTTTTACCCTTTGGCTCCAGGTAGGACCAAACGTACCAAAGCACCATGGAAGAGGCTCCAAGATTACCAGTCTGGCATAAGCAAAGAAGGGGAAATGTGGAGGAGGCTGCCTGAGTTAATGACCCTCACCCCTTTCCTTCTCCCCTCAAATTCTTCAGTCTTGTAGGCCTCAGGCGGCAGCAGGCTCAGGTCCACCAGATCTTTGAAAATGCCAGCCATCCCTCTGAGATCTGAATGTGTCCTCACCTCAACTGCTGCTAGTTGGTTGGCCACAGCACCTGGGACTTGTTCCAGGTTGTCACTGGTCATCAGCAACTTCCTCAGCTGGGAAAAGACCAAGAGACCTTCTAGAGAGCTCATCAATGACCTGATTCTTATCCAGGACAACACACCCCAGCCTCTGAAAGACACCACTGCTGGGTTCTGCAAGCAGCTGCCTCAAAGATGCAGGACATGGGCCTCTGGTGGGAGAGCAGATGGGCTTTTCTTTAATACCCTGTGACCACAGGGGAGGGCTATTGGACAGGAGAGCTGTACCCCAGGGCCAGCCCTTCCTGCTGACCTGGCTCTTCTAGCTAGAGGAGCCCCTCTCTGGGAGTGAGTGTGCGACAAGCTCCCCTGCCATGCACAGCAGGGATCACGATGAAGTCATTCCCACGCTTGTGCTCCTCAGCCTGGAGGCCAACGAAACTCAGGAACATGCGGCCCAGGGCAGACGAACACCCCAAAGGCATCACTCGCTGCTAGAAAACAAACTGGCCAGAGTCACTTATTTTTGGCCAGCAGAAAACGCAGGGGTGTTCTTCCCTCAGTATCTAGGTGAATTTCAGTGCTTGTGAAAGTGCAAGGTGAACAGTTTTGGCTAAAGGCAGGCACATGGTGAGGTGACACTCTGCAAATTCCCCCCATATAGCTCTGCCCATGCGCCTGAGTGCACCCCTGAGGTCCTGCCTGCTATTCCAGTACTGGGATCCTACACACCTGAGCCCAGTGCATCTCCTTCCTGGCCTGCAGCATCTCCTGCCACGTCAGTCCTGGGCTCCCCAGCATTTTTCCAATGCACTGTAATCCCAGCCAGCAGCATCCCCTGCTAGTCCTGTTCTGGGCTCTCCCTCAAGCACCACTCTGCCAAAGGGCCTTACTTCTGACCAACGTACACAGATAACAGGCCAGGGAAGCGTGTCATGAACCCCGGACTGGAGCGAGAGGCCACCCTAGTGGATCAGGCACACAGGGTGGGAGGCCAGGAGACGACACACCCTGGATCCATGGGTAGGAGAGTGCAGCATTGACAGAAAGGTGTTGCTCACAGATTGTCCGCAGCTAGTAACCAGCAGTTTAGACTTTAACCAAATACTGAACACGGTGCACAAAACAAGTCCCTGAATGGAGGGCCACGGGAATACATTGAGTGCACTGGGCTGCAAACAATTGATGTCTGGAGCAGAAAGAACATTTCCTAGCACCAGAATCTCTGATGTCCCTAAGTCCTGGTAATAAAAGCAGGCTAACCACAGGCTCTGGGGGGAGAATGTGGGGCTCAAGAGGAGGCTCGGGAGAAAGACGCTGCGATCTGCAGGCTGTTTATTTTTCAGTGCCGACTAGGGCTCTTCTGGAGCTGAAGGAATTCATCTCCCTGAAAGAGCCTTGTTTTTCATGGAGGAAATGAGACAGGGAGCTTTTAATAGGAAATAAAAACACATAAAACACAGAGAAACTGAGACACGGGCCTGGAAAAAAAAATCCAGCCAGCCAGCTCTGTCTCGCCAGCAGCCCGGACACTGCCAGCAATCCCAGCAGCAACTTTGCCATCTCTTGCAGTCTAGCTCTATCTGCCCCCTTTCCTCTTATTTCTCCTTCCTCTTCTGACCACGAAAAGCGTTAATTCCAGCCTCCATAATGGCCCGCTCCCTGCACAGCGTGTGTGTGTGTGTATAGCCTTCATTTCCTCTCTTAAGCCTAGGGCAGACGTAGAACTTCTGCCCTGTCCCACCCAGAGCTGGCCGCAGGCGATGATGAGTGAGATCATCTCTAGAGATGTGGCCATCTTCTGCCTAGGCTTATCCCTTGCCCAGCTCCAGAGAGCTGCATGGAATATAAATCTGTGCAGAGTTTGACTGAGGGGGCCTGACTGTCCGTTGTTATAAGTGGGCATAGCTCCCCCAAAGTCAAAGGAGCTACATCTATTTACATGAGCTGTGGACCCGACCCAGGGTCTGCCCTGCAGCTGGGATCCAGTAGGATGAAAAATTCTATATACATAGAGGGGCTTTCCCACCAGTGGCATGTGAACACCTCCCATTTGAGCCAGTAGAAGTTGTTCCCATGCAACTGGCAAGAAGAATTTAGGTACAGTGTAAGGTATATTTATTCTGTGATAGATAGATAGATTTGATGTGGTGTATGGGGATAGATAGATAGATTAGATGTGGTGTATGGAGATAGCTAGATAGATAGATTAGATGGATGTAGTGTATGGGGATAGATAGATAGATAGATAGATAGATAGATAGATAGATAGATAGATGTGGTGTATGGAGATAGATAGATAGATAGATAGATAGATAGATAGATAGATAGATAGATAGATAGATAGATAGATAGATTAGATTAGATGGATGTAGTGTATGGGGATAGATAGATAGATAGATAGATAGATAGATAGATCTGTTACACTCTCAAGAGTTTAGTGAATCCCTGAAGATCAATCCTTCCTTATTATAATATTTCTGATGATACTAGAGAGGTTTGTGCGATGATGACTAGCTTCCTATCTATCTAATCTGTCTGTCTGTCTAGGTACTTATATGGCTCCTCCCCCATCACCACGGGACATAAGATTGCACTTGATGCTACCTTTGACGTGAGACATTTCACTGATTTGTTTTCTGAGCCTCTTCAGAAAATCGGAAGCGATGTAGCGTCTTCTGATGGGCGAAAAAACAAGAGCAGTAGCAAACGGTGCCATGGAGTCTGCAATCAGTTGCGGATAAGTTCAGAATGTAAGGTGGGGGTGGGGGAAGGCCTTGACTGAAAGGTGGAAGACGGACAGGCAGCAGCAAAGCCCACACTAGCTGAAATGAGGCATGTCAGGAAGCGAGGTTCCGTCTGGTGCTTGCAAGGAATTGCTAGCTGAACATGGATATGCCAGAGTCCACCCCTTTCACAACTATGCTCCATATAATCACGGCACAAGCCCCATCCTTTTTGAAGCCCCAGTGGTCACAGCCACGGATGACTGAGCTCTCCTCAACCAGCCAAAGGTGCTGTTTATTCTTCTGCTCTGCTGATGAGGACGGTTGAGTAATTCTGCTCTCATAGCGTTGAAGATGAAAGGCCCACAAGCAGTCCTCTGCCTAGTCCCTTGGCACTGAGGTTCGAGTTAGCAAATAGCTGACCTGCTTTTTCTGCATGTCTCTCTAGAGTCTACACAATAGCTCTGCTGCACGGCACCCCAACGTGCAGCATGCAGTTGCAGCATGAACTGTTACATGCAACCCCAGGATTGGGGCGACCCTAAACCTCTGACTACCGGGAGCTAAAAGTGGAAGACGGGGTGGA